CCTTCCATGTGGCAACAGGAGCACTTAACAGGACGGGTGTTCAGCGACCTGTTGTTTATTCGTCTAGTACATGGTCTTCCACGTCTTTTTTTAATAAGTGGAGGCTTTAACTGATGGTCTTCTGGATGCACAATGCTTATCGTAATCTGGAATAGGAAAGAGGATCGGTTCATAAGTTGCTCTGAATGCTTTAACCGTCATGAACCAATCACAATATTGATAAATGTCTCGTACCATCCAATTAATTGTAGCACAAGCGTGCTTGCAAGGAATGCGGGTGATATCCTAAGACCTGCGTGAACATGTCTGATTCTTCAAATCTACACGACAAGTTTTATTAGATTCAACCTCCACAATATCTTCTGTCGAATGCTTAATATGCAAGCAGCTTCCATGATGCATATTATCACTCAACACTAACTCCTCTTCTGGACATAAGTATCCAGACCATTTTGCTGTCATAAGCCTTCTTTCATGTATGCGCTCCATGACTTGCTTTCGTATCGTCTCAACCAAATGTAAGATTCATAACATTTGTGACTTTCTTATCCAACTGTTGAAGGACTTAGCAACGTTCAAAGTAACATGGCCATACCTATAAATCACATGAAAACGTAACAACTAAGAAGTAACCTTAACAACTAACAAATAACATTAACAACCAAAAGTTAACCTTAACAACGAAACCGTAAACTTAACAACAAAACTCTAACCTTAACAACAAAATGGTAAACTTAACAATAAAACTCTAACCTTAACAACCAAAACCTAAAGTTAACAATAAGTCTGTAGACCTAACAACATAACAATAACCTTAACAACAAAACTGTACCCTTAACAATGAAAACCTAACATTAACAACAAATTTGTTGACTTACTGTAACCTTAACAACTAAAATGTAGCCTTAACAAATAAAGTTTAAACAATGTTATCATACCTTATATCGGGAAAATAAGCATTTGCCCATCTCTCCGGGGAGTATTCCATTGCAGTAACATAAGCCCTTTGATCGATCGATGCCAATTCTTGCATGTAATCATTCCATTCGAAAATTGTGTACTTGTAAGCTGCGGTTTGTAATAAATCACCCAAATTTTGAGTGACATTTTCCTTGTGACCTAAATCCCTCATCCTTTTTTTGAAATTATCGACTAGATGCAGAACACACTTTGAATGGAAAGCATCTGGAAAGAATTCCTCGACTGCTACCCTAATACCCTTGTCAGCATTAGAAATCATTACCAGTTGATGTGGAGAATTGTAAGGTTTTTCCCTATCATATAGTATCGCCCACATGTCTTGTAAGAACCATTTCCAATTATCCACATTCTCCTGGTCGTATACGCAATAAGCAAGAGGAAATATTCCTTGGTTGTCATCATATCCCGTGGCACTAAGTAGTATACTTCTGTAGCGGTCTTTAAGAAATGTACCATCCAAAAATAAGAGAGGCCTACACCCAGCAACGAACCATTCAATACAGGCATTATAACTTATGAACAAACGCCTAAACCTTTCGTCATTAGCATCAATAGCAATACGACTTCCTGGATTAGTTGCTTGAACTATGGCTTCATACATGCATATATATAACAACAAAGTAGTAACCTTAGCAACCGATTCATAACCTTCACAACAAACTCATAAACATAACAGCTAATACATAACCTTAATAACCAACTGATATACTTAACAATCAATCGATGACCTTAACAGTCAATCCATATACTTAACAATCAATCGATAACCTTAACAATCAATCCATATACTTAACAATCAATCGATAACCTTAACAACCAAGCCATATACTTAACAACCTATGTGTAAGCTTAACAACCAAAGCATAAGGTTAGCAACCAATACATAACTTTCATAACTAAAACATAAGGTTAAAATAATGTACAATCTTAGTGAATCGTAAGCCTCATCGTCGTCACCGAACAGGTCCTGTTGTGCTCTCTTTTTACTTTGTCACGCTTTATAGTAGTTAATCTTGATGTCATTGTTTGCGTTGAAAGTTGGTTTATTTATCGAATCCATTACACGTTTGTTGATTACAATGAATTCAAAAGAGTTAATCTTTCTATAAGACTACTCGCTTACACAAATAAAACAAAAAAATTATAACTCTCTTCAAACACATGCAGAGGACGTTTATCACCCACTACTTGCGTGGGACTTTTGCATGTGCCGGGGACGCGTTAGTCTGTGGACCGTCACGGATCAGATCCGGTTGACAGAATAAACTTTCAATGCTCTTGCTTCACAAAGGAAACAATCGCAGAAGTAAATAATCTCAACAAAGTGAGATTACTACTCTTCTCGATATAAAAACAAAGTATGATATCAAGGAATGATGAAACGGACCTCAGATCCTTCGAATAGCTCCTTCTTTATGCGGAGTTCGCCAAGATCTGCTAGCCCTCCTCTAAAATTTATGGTTCACTCTCCAATTTGATAGCACCTCGCCTCTAATTTTAGATCCTCTGTGTATAGGACCCTAGGCTTGTATTTATAGGCTTCGGATGTAGCGTTTTAGGATAGGAACTGATAATTTGACATTATCCTCAGTTAATAACTACTTAACCATGTTTAGGGATAGTAACAAAGTAGTTGGGGAGGCTCTGAAACAAAAGAATCCTGAGAAAACTATCGAAAAACCCATTTTCGGCATTTCTGGGCGCTAGCCACCCTATAGTGGCTCGAAATTGTGTGAGCCACCCTATGGTGGCTTGGCCTTGGCTGAGCCACCTGGCCTTGGCCAAGTTGTTTTGATGCGACTCGGCCGCCATGGGCTTTTTCGTTTTGGTCTTGTTCCGCCATTTTGTGCATTTCGTCGTTTTGTTGACTCGTACGCTTTGTTGACTTGTTTCATACACTCGTTAGCTCTTTTACGGCACCAGATAATCTCGTTTGACTCAGGTGATGGCATTCATCGCCTTCTCTTCATTTTGAGCCGTGTGCAGGAACCTATAAGCAATTTTTACGCCTATAGCCATAGTTTGAGAACAAGTCATTCTTGATATTAATTGGACGAAAATCTGGTCTAACCTTCAAAATAGATTGTATTTGGCTTGCAATAAACTTTCTTGATGCCCTTGAGTTGTCAGCATTAGCTCCGTCTTAACCGCAAGTGTGGGTAGAATAGAAATTCTTTATAGACATAATTGAGGAATTTCTTAGTGGATAAGCAAACAACATCCAAGGACAACCCAGCATGTGATTGCATCAGCAATAGACTCTTATACGTCTTTGTTCATTATGGTAAAAATCATATTCGAACCTTTTCGCAATTGAGTAGTATTGAAGTGTTAATCTAACCTCAGCAGCACTATCAAATTTCTGACCAATTTTACGTATGTCTGTGTGTCACTCAGCTGATATTTTGGTTTGGTTGTTAATCATGTCTTCCATCATCGTGATCGAGTTGCCAGTGGGATAGTCATTAGGAATACGCTCATCATTTGGTGAGCGTAGTTGGTGCCCATCATGAATTTTTTCTCGGGATGGTCCTATAAAAGTTAAAAAAACATTAATACTTAACAAAAAAAACTCATAAGGCTAACAAAAATTCATTAATATCTACCAAGGTTAATAACAAACTCGAACCTTAACAACAAACTCGTAACCTTAACAACAAATTCGTAACCTTACCAACTAACTCGTAACCTTAACAACAAATTAATAACCTCAGCAACCAACTCGTATACGTAACGGCCAACTCATAACCTTAGCAACCAACTCGTAAACGAAACAACGAAATCAACAACTATCGCATAAAGTTTAACAACCAACTCATTACCTTAACAACCAACTGATAACATTGTCAACCAACTCATAACCTCAGCAACCAATGCATAAGGTTAACAACCAAACTCAAAACCTATCAACGAACTCATGCGGAAATTAAAAGTGAAATGCTAACACATTTTCTGGAGATGTTTGGGTGTTCTGAGAAGTTGAGGATTCCACAACGGAGGTAGCATACAAGTTTATGTCTGTAAAACCATTACGACGACAATACTTGAACATCAACCTCAAGTCGTCGTCATTATCAATTGAAAAACTAATCCTCTTTTCCCTTTCGGATATGAATTTCAATGAAAGAGATTGCAATGGTAGTTTAAGCCTTTGGGACACTTGATATTCCAAGCTAACGATTTGTGCAGACTCGTTGATAACTATGAAAACACCATCACCCTCGTTGTTGCTTTTTGTGTTTGTAACCATGGAAAGAATGGATCCAGCCGTCATTTTAAAGAAGAATAGTTGAAAAAACGAAGAGGATTTATTGAGGGGAATTAAGTCGCCGGAGAGAGTAGTTGGGGTAAGCAAAGGGGGAGGAGATGGGATTTACTGCGGGGGTGCTAAGGATATGGTAATAATTTAGAGGGAAATGGGTTTTTTCCCTCCAAAACCATATTCTAATCACCATTTAATACTACAGTATAACTGTCCAATCATCGGTATCTGGTTTGATAGAGTTCCGGCCAATTGAGGACATTTTGGGAAAATTTTGTTGTTTTTAAACGAAGGATCACGTGAGGAGGGGTTTTGGGGGCTATGGAAATTTAACACTATGTTTTGGGGGCAATAGGAACGTTGACAAAGTCTTAGGGGAGGACACTTGGAATGCTTTTGGGTGCTAGAAGCAATTTCCCCATTCTAAAATCATGATAATATGATGCACAAATTGTCCTATGATATATTAAAAAGATATGAATACCAGCATTAGCCTGCTACTTGCGGACATGGGTCTGGGCTACAAGTAGAAGATGTAAATGTTACTGGAATTTTATAGTTGCCCATTAGTAAATTGATTGAATGTATGAAGTGAAAAAATCAATCTTAAATATATACTAACATGTAGATCTACATGTTTGTGATTTATTCCTAATATATCTAAATATAACTAACATCATGTTCCTATGAACTACAGTCATGCTCGATTTTCACTGTAAAAATAATAATTAGATTAAATGATAAGAGGGTTATGATTGAGACTAAGTGCAGTAATTGAATATCTGAACCCTAGTACATAGTAATGTTCCAAAATGGAATCAGTGTCAATTACAACATACAACATTCAGAAGTTCCATCCACCATTCAATCAGGATTTGGCCTCACCCAACAGAAAACTCACTCAAACGCAACTTATCAAATTCCCCCAAAGGAATCAAAGCAATGGATCCTCATACCAAATTCTTGTGTCAAGGGTTCACAATGTCCATCATGATCTTTCAGACTAAGCTTTGGGTGATGGCCATCGGCAATGGAGTTGAGCCAGTGTAACTGAGGAGAACTTCTTGAGGCAGCAAGTTGTACTTAATCGACAGCTCTTCAAAAATTCTCTTCAGCTCAAGAACAAGATCAGACCTCCGGCTATTTTTCTCTGGTATGTTTTGAAAGTTCATAGTATGGTTAACATATAATGCCATGTTCATCTTGTTAACATCCACGATGCCCTTGACCACAACGCTGTGATTAGGATGCCAGTGATTTGGTTTGCTATCAATGTACCTGGTGAATTCGCAAAGGAAAGTACAATATTTTGCAAAATGGTTTAATAGATGAAAAATAAAATGATTACACAGATGTATCCAAGTGTGCACAACTATATTATATTCAAGTTTGTTATAACATAATATAAATCTAATTATTTCATGAACTTCTATCATAGCTGCTCATGCATGTGTATCATAATTACATTTCTAATCTTTTTCAAGTAACTAAGTTTTACCAAGGTTTTAAATGTCGGTTATCGGGAATTTATCGGACGGTCAAAATCCTTATCGGATAGCGGAAATCGGGGATATATCGGGGATAAGTAGTATTTATCGGAGTAATATACTAGCAAATAATAAACAAACATAAGCTTAAAAAAATATAATGTTAGTCAAAATGGAATAATAAACAAGCAAATAATAAGATAACATCAAAAATGAAGAACCATCTACACATCTACATAATTATTGTTTAATCATGAGATTCATAAACTAACTTACTAAGTTGATATTTAGTAGTTATGAGCCATTATCAATATCCATAAACAAACATAAGCTAATCACCAATCAACCAAGTTCCAAAAGCAACAAACAGTTCATAATTTGTAAACATTCAAAGAGCAAATCCAAAAGAAAGTAAAAGCTCTCAAATCCTACTTATCGGCCGATAAAACCGATAATTAGAGCCTACTTATCGGCCGATAAGTGCCTTTATCGCCGATAACTAGCCGATAAACCTCAAAAAACGATAACCGATTAAAAATCCTACTTATCCTAGCGGAAAGCTCCCAAATCCGATAACTCGGCGATAATATCGGATTATCGGCCGATATTTAAAACCATGAGTTTTACAAATGGCCAAGTGGACTAGAACAGCTGATGCATGCACAATTATATTAACTAATATTATATTCAAGTTTGTTATAACATAATATAAATCTTAATTCCTGGACTTATATTGTAATTACATTTCTAATCTTTCTCAAAAAGCTAGGACTTCCACAAATAACCAAGTGAACTAGAATAGCTAAAGAATGCATCAAAGATAAGTGTATCCTTTGGAAACATCGAAGTCACTTGTGCAAAAAGAATCATAGGGGTACTAATACAGATTCTAGGTCAGTATATATTAGCCATGAAGAACTTAACTCGAAATGTAATTTTGCAACCATATATTAGAATTGACAAGGCCAAGCAAGTAAAATATTTCGAAAGGCAAAATTTTAACATGCAAATAAATAAAAATGTGCCTGATACTGTATCATGAAGCCTTAAGTTCAAAGATGAGGCATGTAAATATGGTTGAAGAACCTGATCATATTGTGGATGTGGAATCAACTGGAAGATATGCACATATGTTCATCATTTCAAATTGCAAAAATCAACATAGATAACACTAAAAAGTAAAAACATGGCCAAGCTTGTCCACTTGATATGAAGGAACTATAACACATCCACTCGATATCTGCCTCTAGAAATTGCCAAATTGCCACTTGATTTCCAACCAAAAATGTTTGGCAAGATACAGATTTGCCATGAAACCTAAAAGATTGATAAACAGGCAGAGAGTTACCTATCAAGCAAGTAAATTATATTCACAGTGCTGTTGAAATCTCCATAATAGTGTTGAGTCTAGACAAGAAGGAAGAGATGGGTTTGCCATAAACAATTTCTACGGCAGCTAGAGCCTAGAAGGTTCAATATCTAATCTCAAGGCAAGTTGAGGGAAGCTGAAGAAATTTTCACAAAATCCCTAAAGTATCTAAAAACTAGAGCCTAGAAGGAAGAGATGGGTTTGCCATAAACAATTTCTATGGCAGCTAGAGCCTAGAAGGTTCAATATCTAAGCTCAAGGCAAGTTGAGGGAAGCTGAAGAAATTTTCACAAAATCCCTAAAGTATCTAAAAACTACCAGAGTTCCTAGATGATGATGAAAACAGGGGTTTGGAGAAAAGGGTTACGAAGTAGAAAAGACGACAAGCACGAGTAACTCATCCATTTTGAGGCATATAGATAAATAAGGGTTCAATCAATATAATTGGTTGTTGCCAACATAAAGGCTTATGCAATGTCAGTTGACTTACATCTTGATCATAGACTTCAGAGCTCCAATGCTCTCCACCGAAGTCGAAATATCAACAGAGAATTCCACAGCATCACTCATATCTGGACTTCTATAGAAATTGCTGATTGGTTTTGTTGCCAAGACAGAGTTCGGATAGTAGATCTTCTCATTATCAAATTTCAGGAAAACAGTAGTCAATATATTCATCTCTTCTACTATCATCTGCGAGATTAGAGTCAATAATATCATGGCATATATCAGACAAACTCCACGATTTTGTTTCCTTGTTGGGAAAATTACAGAAAATCCCCTAACGTTGTCAGGAATGATGGAAAAGTAGGATAGTAAAGGAGAATTACCTGTATTCCATCAACAACACAACGATCACCAACATCAAAAGGGTGCATTACAAATACAAATATGATAGCTTCGAATGCCATCTTGCAAGAGTTTCCGAACATAAAAACCACCAACAATAGCTGAGAGGAGATAAAAACAAGCACTTGGGTTGTTGCAATGCCTGTTAATATCAGAGTGATGACAAAAACTGCAATGATAACAACGGCTGTTGCAAGTTTGTGCAATTGATTGACTGCAGTTTTGGTGTCGTTTAAGGAATGTGCAAGAGATTTGCGATCAAGGTAGGCTTTCACCTATAAATAAGATACATTTTAAACTTATCGTTATATATGTTGGTGAAAATATTCTTAAACAAACAATGCTAAACCCTTTTTTCACTTTAGAATTCAGGATACATAGAGCAGGACTCTGAGCAATTATAGTGAATTCATGACTTGAGCAAAGGATGACTGCAGACAAACTTAACTCATCACTCGATTATTACTTATTCAAATCTCCAAATTGTAATACCAATCAATGCAAAAGTCCTTCCCTTCTCTCACCATCCTTTTCTAACCCATTTCACAAATAAGAGAGAATATGTAACTGAAGCATCTTAAACTGAACATTCTATTGTAAGTTATTGTTAAAACTAGGTTTAGTTTCACAAAATACACTAAAATTTGGGGGTCTTGCAGATAACCCCCTCTGAACATTTTTACCTCACATAATTGACTAACCTTTGCGGGTGTGCCATAACAACCTCCCCCTAAAAAACCAAATTTTTTTTTTTAACTCCCCCCCTCCAAAAAAAAAACCTATTTTTTTAAAACTTTTCTCTCTAGACCCACCTGTTAGGTCTCGTGTTTTGATGATGATCTACAAAACCCATTATTGATACTAATTGCTTGTCAAGTGATCCTACGCAGGATATGTTTATCAAGCAATATAGTGCCATTAAAGAAGGATGGATAGATTTGCGCTTCAACGATGATATTCATGGAGGTTGAGGCAAGTTGATGAAAAAGCCTTAAAATGCTCAAAGATCAACTCAAGCGTATATGTACTAAAGAAGAGCTTTCAAGCATATATTCAAGAAGAGCTTCATCAACAAAACTTATCAAATATCGACACTCAAGTTTTGAATACTATTGTAACCGATATTTGTATTTTTACTTCTCTCTACATCATAATGTAGGCAAGAAATAAAGTTGGTAACTTTGAAGCATTAGGGGATTACACACACACATTTCAAAAGTCGCATTTTTGACGAATTTTGCAAAATAATAAATTTTCACATATTTATTTTAGAAATTCTTTCTCTAACCTATTTATTTTCATATATATAAACATTTTTCTAAGTTTTACTATTTTTAGAGTTGATTTAATATTTATCAACTTTTCTAGAAAAATCAAATATCTAAAATGTCAGCTTTTCGGTCGACCACTTTTTTCTTTTAGTCGACCGATCAGGAGCAGGTTTACAACATCCTGCAATTGGCCTCCTGATCAGTCGACCGATACAACCCATCGGTCAACCGATAGTGCCTTTTGTTTTTTCAATATTGGCCAACGGTCAACAAATCGGTCGACTAATATGTTTGACCAGTCGATCGATCATAGTCGTCAACAGTAACAGCTAATTTTCCAGAATCCTGTTTTTAAGGGATTTGTTTTTGGATTTTGGATTTTCTAGAGATTTGGGCTGGTATGTTGAGAAACTATAAATAGGCCTCAGGTTTCCATTTATTGTAAATAGAAAAAAAAAAGAGAAAAACTTGAGTTTTGTTTTTGAGACTTCTAAGCTTAAATTTTCTACTTATTCTCAAGCTCTTAATTTTTCGGTTTTTACTTTCATATCCCACAAACCCCTAAGCTTTAACTGTTCATCTCTTCATTCTTGCCATAGGATATTTGTAAAGAGATATTACTTTTCTTCATCTTGTATTATGTGGAGAGCTAGATCTCGAGGAGATCATTGTGTGGAGAGTTCGATCTCGGGGAGATCATTGTATAGAAGTTTCAGCTTCCAAACTGAGTTGTGTAGTGGATTATCATCGGGAGAGGTGGTCGGAGAAGTAGGTCGAGAGTGGTCAAACCTCGTGAATATATCGCCGTCTTCATTGGCTAACTATCTCTCACTCTCTCTCTTTTTTAATTATTGCCTTATTATTATATTTTGTGTCTTGAACATTGGCTAACTATCTCTCACTCTCTCTCTTTTTTAATTATTGCCTTATTATTATATTTTGTGTCTTGAATTGCATTGTATTTTCTCTCACTCTCTCTCTTTTTTAATTATTGCCTTATTATTATATTTTGTGTCTTGAATTGCATTGTATTTTCATTAGTTGCACATTATTGTTTGATTACCATATTCACCCTCCTCTAGGGTAAATTCATTTGGTATCAGAGCTTGGTCTATATTTAATTATGGTTTAATCACCTTAGAGTAAAGATCCTATATGGAATCAAACATGAATGTGCGTGCTCTTAAAGGTCAATCAATTTCTAGACCTCTTTTGTTTAATGGCAATAATTTTACATATTAGAAAGCTAGGATGCGCATTTATTTGAGATGTATTGATATTGACATCCTAGATATCGTTGAAAAAGAATATGTTGAAAAATCTAGTCGTAACATGACCGACGAAGAAAAGCATTTGGCTACTCTAAACGTTAAGGCTATGAATGACTTGATTTGTGGACTCACTCCTAATGAGTTTAATAGAGCCTCCACCTGTGCAACCGCACATGAAATTTGAGAGAAACTATGTGCAACTCATGAGGGAACTCCTCAAGTCAAGAAATCTAAAATTAGTAGCCTCATGCATGAATATGAATTATTTAAAATGCTTCCAAATGGATCAATTGATGCCATGTTTAGTCCTGTTACTAGCATTGTGAATCAACTATATGGTCTGACAAGGTACTTGAGAACCAATAAAAGAACTACAAGATCATTCGTTCTCTTACACCGTCATGGGAGCTCAAAGCAACCGCGATAGAGGAAGCAAATGATCTTGTAAAGCTCACCCTTGATGGCCTCATTTGCAAGCTCAAAGTTCATGAGAAGAAAATCAAGGAGAAAGAAGATGAACCCCCACGAGGAATAAAGATCCTACTCCAAAGATGAAATCAATTGCGCTTAAAGGAGCAATTGAGAATAACTCTTCTTCCTCTGATAGTGAACTTGATGTCTCAAAAGAAGTGGCTCATCTTTCCAAGAGAATATCAAGATTGGTAAGGATGAATAAAAACTTAAAAAATAATCGTTCTAACAAATCTTCTTCTTATGTAGGAAAATGCTTTGAATGTGGTGAATCGGGACATATGGCAAGAGATTGCCCCAAGTTGAAAGAAAAGTACTTGAAGTACAAGAAGAGAGATATGTATGTGGGATGGGAAGAATCTGAACCTAGTGATTCGGATGATGATGAAGAAACCGCTAAGTCTGCATTCCAAGATCCAAATGTGTGCTTCATGGCTCATGATGATGAGGTATTGTCCGATTCCGATCAAGACTCTTTCATCATGCAATGTGAATTGGAAACCGTCCTTGTTGAGTTGAATTTTGAGTTTAAAAATTTAGCTAAAGAACACTTTTCTTCTAAAATATTACACAACTCGTGTGATTCAAAGTTTGAATTATTACAATCTTCCTTAAATGATGCTATTGCTTTAAAGGATAAGATAATTAGAGATCTTGATTTTGAAAATATACAATTAAGGACACAAATTGAAAGATTAAACAATGAAATTAGCTTGTTAAAATCTAATCATGCTTCTTCCGGTCATGCTCACTCTCAATTTGGTAAAAAGTTGTTTCATCAAACTCATGCACCCACTTACAAGGAAAATTTTATTTGTACCTATTGCATAAGATATGGTCACACCTCCACTCATTGTAGAATTAGAAATGATATTCATGCTGATGGGTTGATGTGGATACCCAAGGGTACTAAGAGTACTAACGTTCAAGGACCCAAGATTTGGGTACCTAAACTATCTACTATTTCTTTACTTGTAGGGAACACCTCGCACAAGACGTAAAGAAATATGGTACCTTGATAGTGGTTGCTTTCATCATATGACGGGCAATAAAGATTTTTTTGCAACCCTATCAAAGATGGAAGGAGGCAATTTCTCTTTTGGCGGTGGCGAGAAAGGTAAAATTATTGATATTGATAATGTTGGTAAGAAACCTTCTCCCATCATTGAAGATGTTTACTTAGTAAAAAGACTAAATTATAATCTTCTTAGTATTAGTCAACTAAGTGATATATGCTATGATATTTATTTTAAACCGGATAAATGCATTGTTAGCCTCAAAGATAAATTTATTTTTGTTGCCTTTAGAAAATTTAACGTGTACATTTTTGAGATGAATGAGCTTGTAGATCAATAAGTAAAATGTTTTGCCGCGGTGGATGGTGATCCTTGGATTTGACACAAAAAGCTTGGACATGCAAACATGAAGTTAATTTTCAAGCTATCAAAGAAAAATTTGGTAAGAGGACTACCAAGTTTAAACTTTGTTAAAGACTCCCAATGTGAAGAGTGTGCCGAAGGTAAACAAATCAAAAATTCTTTTAAATCCATTAACGAGGTATTCACCACTAAACATTTGCAATTACTTCATATTTATCTCTTTGGTCTTATGTGTGTTGCCTCACTAGGAGGAAAACATTATGTTTTTGTGAATGTTCATGATTTTCCTCACTTTACATGGGTCATATTTCTAGCAAATAAATATAAGTGTTTTGATGAGTTTTCATGTTTTGTAAAAAGGGTTAAAAATAAAAAAGATTTAAAAATTATCAAAATTCGTAGTGACCATGGAGGTAAATTTCAAAATAAATATTTTAATAATTTTTGTGACCATCATGGTATTACACCTACGTTTTTTCGCTCTAAAAACACCACAACAAATTGGTGTTGTTGAACGAAAAAATCGCATCATACAAGAGATGGCACACACTATGATAAATTTCTTTGATTTACCAAAATATTTTTGGACGAAAGCCGTTAACACAGCTTGTCACGTTTTAAATCGTGTTTTGATTAGGCCTATTTTCAAGAAAACCCCTTATGAGCTTTATTTTTGTAACACACCCAACATTGGCTATTTTCAAATTTTTTTTTGCAAATGTTTTATCTTGAACACTAAAGATCATCATGATAAATTTGATTCAAAATAGATGTTGGAATATTTTTAGGATATGCATCAAGGAGTAAGGCTTATAGAGTTTTAGATAAACGAACACTCGTTGTTGAAAAATCTATAAACATTACCTTTAATGAGACTAATATCGGTTTGCAAGATTTTGTACCTATTAGGGAAGATGATGACATTGAAGAAGGATTGGAACAATTGCAAATAAGTAAACCCCCTTTAACGGTTGCATCAAAGACACAAGAGGGAGAGCTTGAAAGTAATCAAGAAGAACTTCCCAAAACATGGAAGTTTATACTGGATCATCCTAAGGAGCAAATCATTAGAAGCCTCTCAAAAAGCGTTATGACTCGCTCAAAAGCAATTAGCGAATGTAGTAACATTGATTTTCTATCTCAAATAGAACCAAAACGTGTTGATGACGCTTTAAATGATGAGTTTGGATTTTAGTCATGCATGATGAATTAAACAATTTTCAAATAAATAACGTTTGGAAACTTATTCCTAGACCAAAAGATTTTCATGTTATTAGAATAAAATGGGTTTTTCGAAATAAACTTGATGAATTTGGCATATTGACTAGGAATAAAGCTAGATTGGTCGCTCAATGATACAATCAAGAGGATGGCATTGATTATGATGAAAGTTTTACACCGGTTACAAGAATGGAGTCAATACGTATGTTCTTGGCATTTGCTAGCTTTAAAATTTTCAAAGTATTTCAAATGGATGTTAAAAGTGTATTTTTAAATGGTTTTATTGATGAAGATGTTTATGTCGAGCAACCCCCTGAATTTATTGATCCTTTGTTTCCAAATCATATTTACCGAGTTCAAAAAGCTTTATATGATTTGAAACAAGCTCCAAGAGCTTGGTATGCTCGTCTCTCTAGTTTTTTCATTGAAAATAGTTTTTCAAAAGAAAATTTTGATAATACTTTGTTTGTTAGAAAAAGCAAAAGTGATTTCATCTTAGTTCAAGTATATGTCGATGATATTATTTTTGGAGCTACTAATGAATCTTTGTGTAAGGAATTTTTAAAAGTTATGCAAGAATAATTTGAAATGAGTGATGGGAAAGCTCATATTTTTTTGGACTCCAAGTCAAACAATGTGATAATGGAATCTTTCTCATAAAGCAAGTATGCAAGAGAGTTGGTGAAGAAATTTGGGATGTCAAACTCCAAGCACGCACCAACTCTAATGAGTACCTCTATCAAGTTAGACATGATGAAAGTGGTGAGAAAGTAGACCAAAAGGCATATCGAGGTATAATAGGAAGTTTATTTTATCTCACTTCTAATAGACCAGACAATAATGTTTAGTGTTTGTGCATGTACACGGTTTCAAACTTCTCCTAGAAAACCTCATTTAATTGCGGTTAAACGTATTATTAAGTATATAAATGGTACAATTGATCTTGGTTTGTTTTATCCGAAGCATGCTACTTTTGATCTTTATAGTTATTATGATGCCGACTTTGCCGGATGCAAGGTAGACCGCAAGAGTACTAGTGGCACGTATCAATTTTTAGGCAACTCTCTAGTTTTTTGGTCATCCAAGAAGTAAAATTGCGTAGTCTTATCCACTACGAAAGCGGAATACATTGTCGCCGGTTTATATTGTGCTTAATTATTATTGATTTAATAAAATTTGGTTGATTTCGATTTACATTTTCATGATACAAAAAATTTTTGTGATAATACTAATGCTATAAATATTTTAAAATTTTCAATTCTTCATTTTAGAACCAAATATATAGATGTTCGACATCATTTCTTGCGTGATCATGTAGAAAGAAAAGATGTGTCCCTTATTTATATTGATACAAAATCTCAACTAGCGGACATCTTTACTAAGCCTCTTTGCGAAAAAACTTTTTGTCGTATAAGAGGTGAACTAGGCATGTGCATCCTTTGATTCATGATTTGCTTGATTATTTATTTATCTTTTTCAATAATGATGTTTTACAATCTTTTTTGGCTTACCTAGTTCTATGAACTTGCATGTTTTTTTCTTTTTATGTTTTTGATTGGAAAATTCTTATCTTGAGTTATTTTGATATTTTTTCTTTGTGTACCTTATTTTGATGTTGCCAAATGTGAAGAAAATCTTATGTGCTTTGTGCACATAGATAGGGGGAGAGCCTTATAGATAGGGGAAACATCTATCTATAAGTAATATTTTTATTTCTTTATTTTTATGATCTTTTATAATGGTGGATTGTCATCATCAAAAAGAGGAAGATTGTTAGGTCTCGTGTTTTGATGATGATCTACAAACCCTATTATTGGTACAAATTGCTTGTCAAGTGATTCTACGTAGGATACGTTTATCAAACAATATAGTACCATTAAAGGAGGATGGATGGATTTGCACTTTAACAATGATATTCATGAAGGTAGAGGCAAGTTAATGAAGAAGTCTTAAAATGCTCAAAGATCGACTCAAGCATATATCTACTAAAGAAGAGCTTTCAAGCATATATTCAAGAAAGACTTCATCAACAAAACTTAGCAAATATCGGCACTCATGTTTTGAATACTATTGTAAGCGATATTTGTATTTTTACTTCTCTCTATATTATAATGTAGGTAAGAAATAAAGTTGATAGATAACTTTTGAAGCATTAGGGGATTACACACACATTTCAAAACTCGTATTTTTGACGGATTTAACAAAATAATAAGTTTTCACAAATACGAAATGCTATTTTAGAAATTCTTTCTCTTACATATTTATTTTCACATATATAAACATTTTCCCAAGTTATACTATTTTTAGAGTTGATTTAATATTTTAAATTAAATTTAGAAAATCAATTTTTCTGAAAAAATCAAATATCTGAAATGTCAGTTTTTCGGTCGGCCACTTTTTTCTTTCAGTCGACCGACCAGGAGCAAGTTTACAACATCCTGAAGTTGGCCTCCTGGTCAGTCGATCGATACAACTCATCGGTCGCCCGACAGTGCCTTTTGTTTTTCCAATATTGGCCAACAATCGACAAATCGGTCGACTGATATGTTTGACTAGTCGACCGATCGCAACCATCAATAGTAATGACTAGTTTTTCAGAATTCTGTTTTTAAGGGATTTGTTTTTGGATTTTGGATTTTCTAGAGATTTAGACTGATATGTTGAGAAACTATAAATAGTCCTCAGGTTTTCATTTATTGTAACAAGAAAAAAAAGAGAAAAACTTGAGTTTTGTTTTTGAGACTTCTAAGCTTAAATTTTCTACTTATTCTCAAGCTCTTAATTTTCCAGTTTTCACTTTCATATCTCACAAACCCCTAAGCTTCAACTATTCATCTCTTCATCCTTGCCATAGGATATTTGTAAGAGATATTACTTTTCTTCATCTTGTATTGTGTGGAGAGCTAGATCTCGAGGAGATCATTGTGTAGAAGTTCTGGCTTCTAAATTGGGTTATGTAGTGGATTACCATCGGGAGAGGTGGCCGAGGACGTAGGTCGAGAGTGGCCGAACCTCGTGAACATATCGTCGTCTTCATTGGCTAACTATCTCTCACTCCTCTTTTTTAATTATTGCCTTATTATTATATTTTGTCTTGAATTGCATTGTATTTTCATTAGTTGCACATTATTGTTTGATTACCCTATTCAGCCCCCCCCCCTAGGGTAATTTCACCACCTACCTGTAATTGGCAAATGACTCACATTTTCCTTGAGAGGAAAAAAAACTAATTTAGTCATTTACAGGCAATGTAGCCCATCCCCCTAATTGAGGGTTTTATTTCTCTCAAGGAAATTTTAGTTATTGCAAATTATAAGTTGGGGATGTTAGGTGCAAAACCCTCCCAAAGTTTAGATGGTTATGTGAGATAAAAAAAGTTCAAGGGGGTTTTGTAAAAGTAACCGTGAAAACTAGTACTTATAAGAAATTAGGGTAAAAACAAGGGAAATGAAGGTTACCACCCAATTTCTCAAAGCAGATTTCTTGATCTTTCCAGTCTCTGCAGCTCCTCCAAAAAATGGAAGCAGATACTCCACCTCCTCCCTGCTTAAAAACCTTTGGAGATCCTCAACATTTATGTACCTACAACCAAACTTAAGAATAGTTACAACAAGCAAAAGAATATAGAATAGACAACAACAATAATGATCAATAATCCTCACTTGTGAGCAGGCCTTGCAACGTTCTTAAATATCCGATACGCTGCTAGCTTTGCTTCCCATTCACTAGTTATCTCCCTCTGCTCTTCCTCCTGAAAGCTCTCATCAATAGTATTAGAAATTGTTGAGAGCCCTGTAGCACTAATCACATTAACCAACCCCTTCATTGTCCAAGCTGACACCTTTTCTTGCTTCATTTTATAAAGCTTTGAAACATCAATCACTTCTTGCTTCTCTTTCCCCTTTCCTTTCCCTTTCCTGTTACTTCTAAAGCTCATTTGCCCTGGATGTGTCGCATTGCTTCTCTTTCCCCTTTCCTTTCCCTTTCCTGTTACTTCTAAAGCTCATTTGCCCTGGATGTGTCGCAGTCCCAATTTTCTCAGCTAATTCCATCTTTCCTGTTACTTCTAAAGCTCATTTGCCCTGGATGTGTCGCAGTCCCAATTTTCTCAGCTAATTCCATTAATGGAGGACCCGAAAGGGTCTGGAGTATGTATTGATGAAATATCGATTCTTGAATTCTATCAAAGAACCGGTTCATGTGAAATGAAGAAGCCAATATCTTCACCAAAAGGGTTTTTATTACCCAAATCAGTGACCCGAGCTGGAGCGAAAATAACAACCGAGACACAATAAAGACAACTTTTTTGGTTTTGGGTGATCTACGATCTCCTTGATGGAACACGAAAGACCAACTGAGAAGAATAAGAAATAACCACATAAAGATTTGAACACTCTTCTTCAATCCATACACAAAGTAGAGAACTTTTTTCTTCAAAAGGAAATTCCTTTCAATAGCAAACACTAGAATGTGAATAAGCCAATTAGTGACCAATCTCCCACAGAAAACTACAGCAATCATTAAGCACCACCTCCAAATCTCCAACCCCCAAATTACGTATCCCTCCAATTTTTTGACCAACAAGCTGGCGACAAAGCATGCAATAGACAAAACCAGTATGGACCATTCAATCAAATTCCAAACACTAATTTTCCTTCTCCTAACTTTGCCATTGCTTGATTGTTCGCTTTTGTAAACCTCCTCTTCCTCCTCCTCCTCTTCATCTTCTTCATCATCATCTTTCGGGGTCTTTGGAGTCCCCGAAGCCCTAGGGTTTGGGGACCCAATGTAGGTTGAGCTCGACGCATCGTGGATTGGGTTGGCCACGGGCACGGTTTGCTCGACGAACCTCGATTTGGGTTTTGAGAATGCAGATGTGGGGATCGATTTCCGACGAACTAGGGTTTCGGATCGTCTGGCTCTCGGGGGTTTGCCCGGGCTAGGGCTTGACTTCAGTACAATTTCAGGGGTGGGGGATTGGGGTTTATTGGTTGAGGCTTCTTCACAAGATTCAATCTTTAGGCCTTTGGAATTGGGTTGTTCCTCTCCTGAGATCAGTAACACTACGTCTCCTTGTTTCTTCTCTGTGGGTTCTCTATGAGGATCCATGGGAGTTGGGTTGGTAGGGGAAAAACGATCACTTCATAGAGAACAGTACAAACCCATCAGAAAGAATCAGACTTTAAAAGTACAAGTAAGATTCAAAGACAAAGTTTCTAGCTTTATCAAATATATAAACCGTGGAGAAACATTAGAACATGAGCTTTTCAAGAGTTGATGGTGGGAATAGGATCATACCTAAAACCCAACCTCTTAAAGCAGTCAAAACACCCACTCAAAGTCAAACTGGGGACCCTTAAAACACACCTTTTTTGGGCAATTTTCAACTTTTTCTTTTAAACGGATCTTTCTGATTTTGTTTAGTTCTGGCTTGGGCATTTCCAATATTTTTTCTCCTTTTTTTATTTGTTTTTTCTTTTTCTTTTTTCTTTTTTTAAAAATGATAGAATATGAAAGGGTGACACTACAGGCACACCCTCAACCATACCTTGGGACACACCTTCTCTCTTAGCTATAGTGCACGGGGCTCACTTTAGATTTTTTTTAAAAATCCAAAGTGGGTCTCGCGAGAGAGTGTGTACCTCAAGGTGTGGTTGGGGTGTGTCTACAGTGTTTTCCTATGAAAAAGTCGAGTAGCCGTTTTGAGTAGTGCAATTACTTTTTAAATAATGAAGTACGTGTCATATAAAAACATAATAATGAAGTGAAACTATAGATCTTGAACTATTGTTCTAACATGCAAGCTTGCAGTTCTCCACGAGCTGAATGCCACGTGTCTTTTTCTTTAAGGGTGCGGGTCTAGTGAAACTCTTTGGGTTAATGTCGAGAAGCTCCCTCAACTTCGTGGACCTTCGCAGAAAACCCCCTTAAATATTTACTTTAAAAAACTCTCCTTAATTATGGAGTTCTTATAGATAAGTCGGGTGTTAGTCAATTGAAATATTTTCATACAAAATGGGATAATTGTTAAAGTGGAATAAATTTTCGCTAGTAGGATATTTTAATGGGATAAATAGGAACACTTTTGTGAAGCGAGATATTTTGATAAAATAACGTGGGATAAATTTTTATAATCATGAAATATATATTTATGCATTTTGAAGATATAAATTATATTTATGTATTTTAAACTTATTATTATTGATTGATAATTGCTTACAATAATGTTCTTTACTATTAAATAACTTTTGGTTAGACTATAAGATATTGATAATTATTATTATTATGATGGTCTAATGATAGTGATAACCATAATAGGAAAGAAGTAAAGAAAAAAAATATAAAAAATAACAAAACAAATATGGGTTCTAGATTTTTACCACCTAGTTCCAAGCTAAAACTTGGAATAATTTGAGAGACTAGAACTCTCATTGTTGTATAGAAAAATAAAAAAAGTGGGATAATTTTGTATAATTATCTCAATTCTAATTTTGTTAGAGTTCTACTTGACTAACACTGTAAAATTTATTCTAGTTTTAGTTCTATGTGACTCACACCTTAAAAATTTATCCCACAGATTATCTCAGTTCCAAGTTTAAGTTCTAGGGGACTAACCCCCTTATTGAAAGATGATTTTTCCCCTCAACTTTTCTCACTTAAACCCCTAAACTAATATAATATAATTAAAATTTAAAGGAAAAATTATTTTAAATGACCATGCTATTTCTAATACATTAATTTTTTTTGTCATAATGTTCCCTTTTAATTTTTTTGATTAAATTTTTTTACTTCCCCTCTCTTCTTATTCTTCCATTTTCTTTGCTACGTTCACATGCAAAAAAAAATTAAACACTAAACTTCTTTTATTTTTAGGTAATCTGTGCTTGTAATATTTCAAATAATTGAAACTTTTAAAAAAATTAACAGATTAGTTTCCTCATCAAAACTCATTGAATTGAAGTCTTGTTTGGGTTGGGTTTTTAAACTCACATGATTTTTTTTTTTCAAACAGTGGTATTTTAGTCGTTGCATATTCTAAATTAATAATAGTAAGGGGATTATTTGAAAAAACTAGAAAGACAGATAGGGTTTTTATAGGACACGGTGTAGTTAATTGGGGGTCTAGTCATACTTTGAAAGTTGAGGGTCATTCTCTGCAACACCCTCAATTGAGAAGGATTTTCTAAAATTAAAATAGCTGAGGTGGTTTCTGAGAGTGGGGGTATTCTAAAATTAACCCAAACTTTTTTGCAAGATGTGGATTGTCAATAACATTAACCCCTTTTGTTACCATCAGATTTGTACCTCTATCATATTTCTGTAAAGAGATTAAAATCAGAAATTATGAACACACCCTATTATTTTTATATCTTACTATCAACACATGGAAGCTTAGGTTAGAAAAATAACAATTCTTTGCATTTCGTTTGGAGATCTGAAGTAGCATATTGTATATTTTACATTTTGTTTTTGTGATCCCTCTCTAAAGAGCTTGAATATGATGAATCACACAATTCGGGATTCATTACCATCGGTCTATTGTATTTGGAACCACTAATGTTGCGTGTCATCGTGTTCACAAACCATTAATACAGGAGATCAAGTATTGAACGAGACGAGAAGAAAAGCAGTCGATCAAGTGTTGGACGAGACGAGAAGAAAAGCAACCGAGACGACATCAGCGAATGACGACTCGACATTTCAACTCGAGTCGAGGCGAGAAGACGAGACGACACACCCCAGTCAACACGAAGGGCGGTGTTAGTCAACACATGTTAGTCGACACGAAAGGCGTTACTACTCGCCACACCTCGTGTCGACTCGGAGACAGATTAGGAAAGTTTCATATTTTTTGTAATTTCCTTTTAAATTCGGACTTTCCTTTTTATTAGGGTTAAGATATGGTTAGTTGGCTATAAATATTAGTTCCTTTTGTAAATCGAGAATTAACTTTTCAATTATTGAATCAAGAGAAATTTATCTATTGTTTTCTTCCCTAAACTTGGAAAAATTAGGGCTTGTGGATTCAAGCTTGTTATCTACATGTTATTGTCAGGGCTCGTCAACATCGTATCCGATCGGCCTCTCCGTTTCTACGTATGCGTCAAATGTTGTGTGTCATCTAGTTCACACTAACTCCTCTAAGACATGAAACTAGACTATGTGCTCTAAATCATTGAATTTTATAGAACGCCCGTTGTATGTTCCTCATCAAATCTTACCCAGCATTCGAAAAGGCCTGAAAATAATTTCAAGTCATTTCTGTAAAATACGTTGTTAGATTATCGAAGAAGGTGTTTGGTGTTTTGTTTGCCAACAGAAGATGATGAAATCAAAACATAAAGTCAGAGGCACAAATGACATTGACTGCTGCGTCATACCGATACAGTATCGTGGTGCTGCTGCGCTAAAAATGAATAGACAATCGAGGGACGCAGCATCACTCGACGAGCCCCGTCTCAAGAATTGAGGACTTTATGCATCGGTACCACATTTAATAGCAATCATTATTGTTTGGTTAACGTGTCATGTCAACTCATACCTTTGTGAATACGCACTAAAAAAAGGAAGGATTATGTGGGCGTGTTTGGCGACTTTGCTTGTAACTGTTGGAAGAAGGGGTGTAGATCCAAGCCTTGGCCAGCTTGAGCGACTTCCGGCGAGGTCCAGTCGACGACGCAGGCGAGGCAACGAGCTTCTGGCGAGTCGACACAGGCGAGGGCGAGGCTCTGCAGGCGAAGTCGACGACTAGCGCAGGTGAGCTCGAGCAAAGGCCCTACAGGCGAGGTCGACGCGAGGCGCAGGCGAGCTACAGTTGGATCTCGCAGGCGGAGCGAGCGGACTGCAAGCGAGTTGACACATGCGAGCTTCGAGCGATGAGCTCGCCTGTAGGCGAGGTGCAGGCGACCTCCTGGAGAGCTACGTGAGCTCGCCTGGCGTGGGATCTCGCCTGCATTGGTGGAAGACAGGCTGTCTCCAACTGGCACTAGGGTTTCCCTATAAAAGGGAACCATGTGCACGAGATGAAATTGAGAGATTCTCGAAGCGTTTTTGGCGAGAGAGCTTGGCGGTTGAGAGCGTCTTCTCCACAGAGATTTCAAGTTGAGATTTTCAGAAGAAAATCTCATTATTTCCTGTAGCTCCTTTGTAGCGATTTATTGAGGAGAGAAAGATTTTTCCTGTTGGAAAATCTCATGCATTTAAGAAGAACAGAGAATTTCTGTTGCTTCTCTTTTAAGTGATCTCAAGTTTGAGATCTGCTCTTTGCAAGCTTGTAATCTTCTTTGATATAAAGAACATTATTTGTGTGGCTCCCGAGGACGTAGGTAAGTTGCCGAACCTCGTTAAAACTTGGTGTTCTCTTTTTTGTAATTTTTTAATTTGATGTGATTTTTTCTTTCTATTGTCTTAACACAAGATCAAGTAAGGCAAATTCAGCAGAGGGTTCATATTTGACAGGTGGTCAAATAGTCTACATTCCTCAACAACTGGTATCAGAGCCCTTGTTCAGATCTGTGTGTGTAAGAAATGGTAGAAGAAGGCAAATCTAAAATTAAGAAGTTTGACAGATCACATTTCGCCTACTGGAAGTCACAGATGGTGGACTATCTGTACCAAAAGGACCTTTACCGTCCGTTGATGGGTAAAACAAAAGGACAGAAGAAAGAAAAATCCGATGAGGATTAGGAAATATTAGATCGAAAAGCCCAGGGGCAGGTCCGATTAGCCCTCGCAAAATCTGTAGCACATAATATATTAAAGGAGAAGACGACGGTGAGGCTTATGGAAGCGCTCGCAATGATGTACGAGCAACTGTCAGCTGCAAATAAGGTGCATCTCGTCAAAACGCTATTCAATCTCAAAATGGCAGAAGGATGTTCTTCACGATGCATCTCAAGAGTTCAATACGGTTGTTGATCAACTCATCTCAGTCGACATCACGTTTGATGACGAAGTGCAGACCCTATTGATACTATCGCAGTTGTCGGATAGTTAGGCAGGTTGCGTGACCGTAATTAGCAACTCAGTGGGGAAGGAGAAGTTGAAGCTGAATGAGGTGGTAGCTATGATTCTATCCGATGAGGTTAGAAGAAAATCGAATGAATCAGAAGGTTCAGGTTTAGCCCTAAGTCTCGAGCAGAGAGGCAGAAACCATAATAGGAGAACCAAAACAGGAATCAATCGAAGTCGAAGAAGAAGATGTCAAACTCAAAGGTGAGACTTATCAAAGGAAAAAGTTAGAACTGCGACCAAGAGAGCCACATATCTTCTACCTGTAAAGCACCAAAGAATAACAAAAATGAGCAGGAGGCTCATATTGTGCAAGATGCATTGATTCTCGCTATGGATAGTGATTCCAATTCATGCGTCATTGATTCGGGAGCCTCTTTCCACACT